CCAGGTGCGGCTCAAGTCAAGACGGGAATTCTTTTATTGCAGAGTGATGGAAGCGTGGAATGCGTTAGATGACGAAGTCGTGGCTGCCCCGCGCTGTGACTATTTTTAAAAAGAAACTAGACGCTTTAATAGACAGGCAAAAAGGTGGGGGGCAATGTTGAAGTTAGGGACTAGACAGTAAGCAAATGGGATACGCTAAAAAAAAAATCACATATATATAAACATATTTGGCTTTAAGAAGATTGGGCCTACCCTAAAATTAATGAACGCTCGATCTCGACAAGTGATATCGAAATGGGCGTAGGCGCCTCTTGATGTCACTAAATACCTTGAACCTTGAACCTTTACAACAATATCCAATGAGTTCCATCGCATAGCATTCTAAACCGATACGACTTTCGAATTTAAAGAGACATTATTTCCATGAATTATAAGGAGATGCATTTCGTCTTTAGGGAAACCCCAATCGTCTGAATGTAACTGTTCAACCGGGTTCTACTTTTTAGCCTTAAAATGAGACCCGTCGTTCTAATTTAAGAACGCCCGGTAGAATAGGGGAATATTTTGAGCTTGACCGGGATGCGGATCGGCTCGATAGAATCGATCTGACCCGAGAGAATCGATCTGACACGTGCATCGGGTGTGAAGCGAGGTTGAGGATAGGCAGAGGCAGTTGTTTCCGGTTGGGTGCGGGTCATGATGGGTGAGGACACAGCCCGGGAACCGTTCGGTATGATGATGTTCCTATTGATCGAAATTCGGCCTTAATATAGGAAAATGGGACGATTTTTTTGGACTTTTGAACCGGGTCATACGCTTTCGATTGACGTCTCACTCATGAAAATCCGTTGATCCATCTAGGAGGAGCTTCCCCGAACTGACACCCTGACATAGACAGATTATCCTCGTATGCATTATGTATATGCCTATCGATGAGAGATGGCCAGGCATCTACTTCGCGCAACCCACCCCTAAGAAAGAGGTTTTTTCGGCTTATAGGGAAATTTTCACGAGTTTCTGATTTCCCAATATATTTGTCTTGCACGGTTTCCGATGCCAAAGGCACGCTTCGCCACCCTCTCTCTGCTTTCACGGAATGCCGTTCATTCTGAACCGTTCCACCCGAAAACGCGTTTATGCGCAGATCTGCGAGGATCTCTTCGTCTCCCCTTGGGTCAAAGAGACCTGGAGTCCTCAATCTTAGAGGCCTAAGCGGGCCGTGTTCGAATTGGGTCGAATTGGGCCGATCGAGTTTCAACTCGGAACTGTCAACTCGTGCAGTCTCTGACGCGCATAAAGGCAGAACAACACGTAGAAACCACGATGGCAGTGTACTTTTTGGACTTTTGACCCAATAAGTATCGCCTCTAGGTCGCGAGCTTTCGATCGACACCTCGATTATTAAAATCCGTTCATCCGTTTGGGAGAATTTTTTCGGAATGACAGAACGACAGATTAGCCGCTCATGTACATGAATTCCTGTATATCCCAAGCGGAATGATACAGAACGAGCTGACCCGTGGAAGACTTCCACCAACTCTTCGGGAAGAATTTCCAAATCCATTCAGGGATGCTAGAACTTAACAGCCCTATGTGAAGGTCTTTGAATGTCTATGAAGGTCTTTGAAGGTCTATGAAGGTCTTTCCCACGTCCCCTAGTTTAAGTCTTGGATTCCCCTTTCGTCCCGCCGAAGGATGACTTCCTCGCCGGAGTGAGAGATTCAGCCCTTACATTCGTGGGGATCCCGACTCCTTCGTCGATCGAAACCCCGTTCTCGCATCGTCCACAAAGTCCATCTCCATCACTTTTCATGCAATTAGTGAAAAATACGGATATGGAAACGGGACGGTAACGACACGACCCTCCAAGGATGAGCCTCCTCGTTCCCTCCCACCGAGACGGGATCCCGCCGCTTTCAGACGCGGGCCCCCAACCCGCGGAAGCCTTCCACGAAGTGTTCCTCGGGTATTCACGGATTCAGTCAGCTGCACCATCAACCCTCTACGCAATAGCCGCTCGGGCATTGCGCATCTTGCGCTTCCCTCTCCCGCTTACCCACCTACGGGTAAGCGGGTTCGCACCTACGATTAGGACTTTCATCGAGCGTCGTTCTCATCGCGTATCGAACGCGACCCTCTAGGTATTGTCAGTGCAGTTTTCCGGGAACACGAGTGACAGGCGCCTATTACGTATGGAGATTGTGGTTTCGATTGAAACCTGGCTGACCTCTCTGTCGTGTACAGTTCTCCGGCTATATGCGTGACAGGTGTCTATATTTTCGTACAGGGTAATTGATAAGTCACTGACCCTTTCCAAATTGCAATAACATTAGTAACACTTATATGACGACGATGCAATTTTTGTACCATGTAACCCAATCAGTGAAAATTCTTACGGATTGTTTTGGTTTAGTTTTGTTTATGGCATTTACCTCCAAAGTCAAAAATTTTCCGAACTCTGCATCCCAATAGGTACTTCTGTACAAAGTTTTAGGTTTCCACCTCATATGGGACATAACTAGAATGAAGTAATGTGAAAGCTAATTTTCAATGACTTTCACTTTCTTCGTTAGGTAGTTCGGGATGAAATGGAATTTGCAAGATAGAAAGGGACAAATGGAAAAGGATTAATGTCGTATAGCCAAAATATTTTATGCAATGCTGCACCACTAATTTTCGACTACGATAGAGACACTCCTAATTAACGATACAAATAATTCATTAGTCATTAATGTAATTAATGTTCCTGCCTTTTCGGGCAGTGACCGTTTCCCCTTCGGATTTTTTTTCCCTCTAGTGGTGAATCTATTGAAAATTCCCTCTGCGTTAAGGCTGTTAAGCAGTCCGAAACCCTCATCGCAGCAACGTCACACTAGTGAAATTACCAATAGAAAAAATTGTAAAAAATTGGTAAAGTGAAAAAATTCTAAAAGAATATCCACTGAAAAAGTTGTATCTAGGTGGATAACAACAGGTATTCCAATGGATTGCTCACGCTACAAAATGCAATTCAACCAATTGACACGGTATGACCATGAACCAAACGCACTGGGACTCTTGGCTCACCCTGGCCGGTATGGCATGCATTGAATCACTCCGCCTCAAATACGAACTTTGATGTTCGATGGTCTTGGAAAAAGTCGATTTATTCTAACCGGTTGTGAAAATAGGGCACGCTTGGCCTTTTCCCTTGTCCTTGATTCTTAAGGGATGAGGAAAAATCGTCCAATCCCTGATGTGATGCTTTCGTAATGCTGAATACCGACACGATACCGAATGGATAAGGGCTATGGTCCTTATTCGTCAATTCCCGTTCCTTTCCTGTCGTGCCGTCTCCATTCCCGTTTGTTTCGCAGTCTCGTTCAGTGGTGGGTGAGTGCATAGATGCGAATAATATGCATCAAGGATGAATGTACTAACGGAAAGTATCGTTCCTGTGCAGAAGAAGGAAAGAAGAAAAGGGGGCGAATGATGCCGTAAATAATGGTGGCGTTCCTTCAGTGTGCGAAAAGTGTTCTCTGCCTCTTCCTCCTTCACGCCCCAGGAGTCAGAGGAGAATCGTATCAACCGGATGGAAAGAAGAATTGCACAGGAATAAACCAGCAAGGAGAGTTTCACCAAGGCATAGGTGCTCTCGGATGTCTAGCATTCATCAATAGTTCGAATGTTCTCTTCTCAGACTGCAAGGCGGAAGCGAAACTGACGTCGTCTAACCAAATCGAGTCTGACCTGTGGAATATTTCTCATTGCAACGGTGAAGCCGTCGGTGACCGGGAGAATGTCGCCCTCCTCGAGGCTTTCCTCCTCGGTTCCTCTGAGAAAGCAGAGAAAAGAAAAGTCCTCATCCAGGACTGTTGTCCCTCGAACGACAGTTATGAAGAGTTTCTAAGAAATTGGATTCCCCCGAAATACAAGTGGACGATCCCAGTCTTTGATCAAAAGACGGGGGAATTTCGGAATTTGTCACGAAATGAATATCGACTCCATATCAAGGACCTCACTTCCCTTTCTTGTGCAGAGCATTTCCTTCCTGAGAAAGGCTTCTTTCCTCGGCAAGGACACCCAGTTCTCCTCGACCGCGTGTATCCCTTAGGCCATTCCTCGAATGCCACGTTTTCCAATTACAAAATGATGCATCTTTTACACGCAAGAGACGCTCCCAGGACCAAGTGAGACCGAGTCGTTACAGTGGTCAGGCTTTTCTAATAGGCTCTGACGCTTCCCTTTAACACGCAGAACTTTACAACAGGGCTCTCGGATTTCTTCGTTAATCTGACCGGACGTTGGCCTCAATGTAGTACAACCGAAGAGCTCTGGGATCCCCGGAAATATTTTAATTCCCCTTCTCCTTCATTGGAAAATATCCACGTGATTATAGGTGTCCCTGTTTACCCCATATGTCATATTCTGCCCTGGGAAGTACTACCATTATCACCGGAAATCAAACGTGATCAGAAACCAACCTTTTATTTACCCCCGACTGGTGACTTGACATTCCAATTCCATAATGCCACCTCCTTAAATTTTCCTTTCCCTGGATATTGCATCGACCACATGCAGAACATCAACGGGACGATGGATCCCATAGTCATCATCTGCGGTCCAAGGTCATTTGATCCTTTACGTCTGTATTCCGTGGTTTCCCTGGTCGCAGCTGGAGTCCAGCTAATTACCTTTCTCCTCCTCCTGTTCCTCACACAAGAACGAAAGAGTTTTCCAGGAAAAATTCGCCTCCTCTATGTCGGGTGTCTCTTGCTTAACGTCGTTATACGTTGCGTCAGAATGTACATCTTCAACGTCGGCAACTACAAAATCCTTTGCGCCGCTACCAGTATGCATCCTCTCGATTGCCTAGTCGTTGTTTAGAATAACATTTTTCCTGATGAATATCTCTTTCTGGCATTGTTACAGTATTACTTGCCGTCCACGCACTTACCTCCGCATTCTTCTGGCTGAACGTGATGAGCTTCGATCTATGGTGGACCCTCAGGTGATGAGTGATGGGTCTGTAACGAAGCGGTTGAACGGTCCTGAGTGCTGTGCACCAAGGATTCATAAATATACATATTTAAAAATTTTTGAATATGAATCAAAATTGACAAAAAGTAATGGGTGCGACAATGACATTCTCAGTGAATATTTCCTGGCTCCCGAAATAAGACGCCATTGTCGTTAAATAATAATTATATCAAACTGAAAACTAACAAATTATTAGCGTAATAAACTTTCACAGTACTACGGAGTACTAATAAGTAAGAAATTTATGGTATTGGTATTTTAGAAGTTGCAACTACATTTTTGCGGTAAATATAAAGATTTATCCAAGTAAGCCAAGTAAGAACAACGTGAACACTCCTTAAGGAATAATTTTACACCTTTTTCCCCCACCTCCGCATGGGACACGCACTTTCACTAGGTGCGGTCTCATATGCCACATACCGGTCCTAGCTGTCTTCCCTACGAAGCTTGTAAAGTCACGCCTAGTGAAACTATTATTATGGAGGGTTACGTTTGTCTAATATCCTTTTATCATACCACAGTGGTACGTTAAAGTGATGCTGACTCTCAGTACACTCGTCCTCTCTCTCCTACTAGTAGGACTTATCCGGAGTTACAGAAATTCAGTAGAGATCAATGGAAAGCCATAATTCCTTGCTGTTAAAATAGAGATCAATAACTTCACAGGGAGTATCTATCCTCTCTTCACAGCTGTTCCCAGTCCCTTTAAATGTTCCTATACGTGGAAAATCTGGTAGTACTTCAGTTTACCAAGGAATGGGTGGAAGTGGACCGTTAAAACCTGTGTTTAAAACTCATATTGAGCTGCTGTTTCCGTAGATATCAGAAGCTGTGTAGGAATGTCACAATGAAATCAAGAAATATTTGTAACTTGTTGCAAAAACCCATCAGTGAATGACTACAAAATTGGCAATTACTACATATTGGATGATTCCGAAAAACGCTTGACAACTTTCTATGGGAGAAACACTGTTTCATAAATGCAAGAAAATGTTTCCATTGGCGACCCGCTCGACGTTGAACGGTTCAAATGTGTTGAGATGCATGTCAGCTTTTTTTGCTTGCCTCAGTTGTGCAATGCACATTTAAGGGGTTAAGTTAAAGGTGCTTAGAAGTGTATGATACCACTTTAAGTGATGTAATGATCTGTGCTCCACAGTCTCAGATTTCAATTAAATTTGGCTATTGGTGGGATTATTTTGAAAATAGCCTGCAGACAAAGAAGCATGTCTGTATTTCGAGCGGAGGCCAAGAAGAGAGAGTTTTAATTTGATGGGGTTTGGGGTTGGGGTCGGGGGCACAAAATGGCCCCCAAGGCCCAGATGCTAAATTCCTGACCACGAGGGTACCATGTCACCAACCTATTTAGATTGGCTATAACTTTTCAAGGGAATGTTGGATACAGCTGATACTTGACAGAGAAGTTCATGAGTCTAAGAAGTTGTTTCACATCCGCAAGACGACGCTGTATGCCGAGAGCGGACCCTGTTATTGACCGGAGGGCTCAAATTTTGGTGCTATGCCACTTTTAAGGAGGAAAAAGAACTGTAAGGTTTTTATACTTTAAACAGTACATGAGCCTCTCTGCCAAGTATCAGTTGTATCTGAGAGCTCTTCCAAAAAAATTGGTCTTGAAGCCAATTTAAAATATAGGAATTTACTAAAAACCGGTTTAAGGCCAAAGCCGGGCAAGCTACTCTAATTTAGTTTTGAGATGAAGGAGCACAGACCATTACTGCATTTGAGGTGTAACGATTTAACTTGAAACTTTGTAATGGGACAATGCATAGCTCAATGAATCGTTCTGAAACATCCAGACAATAACCTCTACACCTTGTATATGTCAAATATCAAGAGTTCATAAATCTGATAATTTTTCTCGAATATACGAATATTACTTTCTCCTATAGAAAATAGTGAAGCGTTTATTTTGAATCATCCTATATACGCATATATGAATGAGTTGAACCTATGCATTTTATCCTGATAATCCCGTCGCTGATCTAATCTCTTCACCTTTTGCAGAAACCTGAATCCTTCTTTCCCGGAGGATGAGAGGAAGAAGCTGTTCTATTACAGCCTGTATGCATTTGGGGGCCCGACGGTCTTAGTCGCGATTGCAGGCGCCGTGGAATTCTCTCCAAGCAGCCATCCTGATGAAATCTACAAGATAGTGTCTCAAACGCATCATATGGGAAGATGTCCATTCTTTGGTACGTTTATATCTTCTGGGCCGTGCAGGTTATGCTTTCCGCTCTTTTGGGTCGTGACATTCATCTGCTTGATGGACAACTTCCCGTGCTGTTTCAATGACGTAAATTTCAATCCTCATACATTTCCAGGTACTTCTGGAGCATTTGGGGTTATCCTTTGGCCGAAGTTGTTGATCCTAGTGGCTAATGTGATTTTTTTTTCTCTCACGAGTCGCGAATTGCTTCAGCACGCCAAAGACACTGCCCACCTACAGAAAAACCAAGAACAAAGACAGACGTAAGTTTCATCAATCAAGCTATCGAGATGCACCATTTTTATCTTTGGAGAGAGTGATGCACAGCTTGGTGTGACGCATTTTTTCTTCATCAGGACAAAGTCTACTCCTAGGCATTCATGCTCTCAGGTTTCCAGTACTCAATATTTCCTAACATGAAATACGCTACGGACTTCTTTGTCGGATAAAGCTTTGTTGCAGGAGCTTCATTCACTGCAATTCAAAATGTTAGGTCTATAAATGCACACGATTTCAACAATCCAGTCCTGCAAGCGTAGAGCAATGAGTCACCTTCCCTCACCCATATCCATATCATGTCAGGTTAAAAAAAAAAAAGAAAGAGAAATTAGGAATTTCCTACCGAAGAGGAAAGTTAAGCATCACACCATCTGCACCCCATCCTCCAAATCCTCCATTGAAATCTAGATAATAAAAAAACACAGAAAAAACCCTGCTAAAAAAAAAAGGTTTGTGCCTGTCCTCCCTGGGAATTTTCTGACCTACATTCGAAAATTCGCATACCTCTGTCGCATTCCTCTAAATTCACACGTAATGCATTGAGAAGGACCTGGACCAAATGCCCAAAAAAGGTCTAAACAATAAAAAAATAAAAGTATTTCGGGCAAGATTTCTTGAAACTCCAATCGGTTCAAATGTTCATGCCTTCCCCCGGTCTTTGCACAGGCTTGGGCTATACATCAAGTTGTTTTTCCTGATGGGGCTGACGTGGCTGGTGGTGCTTTTCGGCTACATTTTCATGAAAACGAAGGTGTTTTTACTCATCGCAACTATCCTCGAGTCCGTTCAAGGAGTCTTCATCTTCTTCATCGTGTGCAAGAAGGATACCATGCAGTACATGAGGAGGACGTCTCAGGAATGGTTCTCAAGGTTTCGCCAAAGGGCCGAGAGCTCCTCCTCGACTGGAGGCACAGTTGAGAGTCAGAGCACTCAGCCGTAGGCAGATTCTGCTCCGGTATCACCGATTCCAAGGAGTGAGAAGTGAGAGGTGAGTTTCGTTCTTTGCGTGTGCTTGATAAAAGGGATGAAAGATCTCAGGCTTGCAGGGGGAAGGCCTGGAATCTAACCCAGGAGGGGAGAATGGAGCTCCTATCGGGACAGTGAATAGCCCACAAAGGGCCTCAACCTCTTAGATTTTTCTCTCAAGGTCATTATTTTTTATTTTCCGTAATTTCAGTTATTGCATTACTTCATTGACATGTATTGTCATCGATATCAATCTTGGACTTTACGTGGGTCATTTTGCGAATTTCATACTGCTCACATCATTCGCAAAGTTTGGAGGAAGTCTTATTTTTCATGAATATTTGGCTGCATATCCGGTTGTAGCAGGGACGAGTTTTGGCCTGCCCACTTAGTGACTTTTCAAAACCTCAATTTCCTACCCTTCTTCCTTAATTCAACACAGGTGGTGGTGATGATTCACCCGTAGCCATTTTCCAAGGACGGAAGTGAATCAAGGATGCAAAAATGACCCGTAAGGCCAAAAAAGTTCTGTCTACTCAGGGATCTCCACTCATACTCAGGGGTCCTATTCCTAGTATTCACCTTTAGATGATTCCCCCAACACCAAGCAGATATCTGCGTAATCATGAATATGATTTTTTTTCTTCAAGATTCATGTGTCTATTCTCAATCCGGTGTAAGGCCATTCTCTGTATGATTTTTTCTCAGCAAATAAACAAAATTACCTCCACATGCATTTTTTTTTACCATTAATTGATATGAATATTCAAATCCATGGATTTCACTAGAAAAAGAATGAAAGCAATAGCAGTCTTATAACTCAAAACCTACTCGAGTCTTGTTCAGAATTGGCCTGAGAGATGAAAAATACGGCGAGAGAAGGCTAATGGCTATCAGATGTATTCTATCACATTAACATTTAAATTGGGAAAACTTGTTGTTGGGAAAACGTTATGCCTTTTGAAAGGCATAACGTTTTTTTTTCCTATATAAAACAGGTATCAAGCAGCGCCGATGTGATCAGATGCTAGCGTACAGAGGCTGTTGAGATTTAAAAAAAGGGGCGACATACTTGGGGTCGAATGAGCAACTGCCCCTATATCAGGTTCATCGTCTTGATGGTCGCTGCCAGGAAGTGGAAGGTGTGCTATCGGTGACAATTATCTGAACGCCGTGCTAGTAATTGGCTTCTCAAGGGGAATAGAATAGGTAGATTTGTATTATCCCATTAAGAACAGATGCGGTACTCTCCCTACGCTCTTAGAAAAATGAATAGCGGTTTTACACCTGATGAGGAAATTGGGGAAAATGAGAATGAACATCGAAAGACTAGTTTCTAGGCCTTTATTTACCCTTCACAACCCGAAACCTAGCGCACTTTTTCCATTCGTTCTTCCATCAGTTGCTATGTCTGTTAAGTAGGGAGCGGATTTTTATTCGCTAATAAGTTAAAAAAAATATGCACATACAAATGCGCTCAATTCAGGACGGGCCAAAACTGCTGTGATCAGGTAGTAACCCTGACTTCCCACATTGCAACCGGCTTTCAGTGCAAACTAAAAACAGGAGCAGCATTCATTGACCTTTCTTCCGCATATGACACCGTCTGGAGGAAAGGTCTGCTGCAGAAGTTAGCAAAGGTCAAATGCCAGCTAACCGTCTCTCTGATCACCGCGTTCCCGAGTAACCGCAACTTTTGTGTGCACCTCGACGAGAAGACCAGCCGCACGCGAAAGCTGAACGATGGACTCCCCCAAGTTTCTGTTCTCGCACCGGTGCTCTTTAATCCTCTCCCGGCCTAAACATCCGAAAGCGCCTGAGAGTGTACATCCCGGGGATGCATGGCTTTTAAATGGGACCGGGAGAGGCTTAACCTGTACGCCAGAGACATCTCACCAACATCATCCCGGAAATTTATTTTCGCGGACGACATCGCTCTGACCACTCAAGCGGAGAAGCTAGAAACAACAGAACGGACCCTCGAAAAGGACCTTTGGACGCTCGAGGGATGCATCCGCACCTGGCGCCTCGAGCGTAACGCGTCGAAAGCGGCCGTCTGCGCCTTCCACCTTCACAACTCCGAGGCCAGAAAAGCGCTCACAGTGAAGTTTTGTGGATGCCCCGCTGGCGCGCGACAATGACCCACGATACCTCGGGGTCACCCCGGATAGGACCCTCAGCTACCGCCGACACCTCGAAAGCACTGGAAAATAGACGGGTTGAGGACCGCTGTCCGATTCACGCATTTCCTGGAAGGACTCAAACAATCCACCAAGCACCCCCGAAAGTTATCAACCGGCTGTCTAGCTCCCAGCATACAGCTCTAATATCATGTATTTTCCTCTCTCGTTGCTTTTATAACATTATACGCAACAAGGTGGATTCGGTATGTCCATCACCTTTCCAGGGGTGTGTATGACCGCAGATCATAGCTCGACGAGCCTTTCGCCAAAAAAATTAATTTCTTGAGGCATGAATTGATGAGACCGGTCTGATCAAGGAGGGTGTAGATGAAGGTTAAATATTTATCTAAGTTTTGCCTGCGACTTTAAAATTTTTCTGATTTTAACGATGCGGTTTTTTTTAATGCAAACGGCTGCTTGGTATCAGAGAAGGGGTTTTTCTGTATAAAAAAAATAGTTGCCGAGAAAATGTTGATAATGCGAATCAGGTGCGAGTAGTGAAGTTGCTTCCGTGAACGTAATGAAATATCAAATATATAAAATGTGGTCACTTCGAGGTTAGCCTGAAGAAAAATAATTGGAGTCATTTCACATTAGTTGAGCATGGCGTAAAATGGATTATCTGCTAAATCACGTGTTGAAAAGGAAAAGGAAAAGATTATGTCCAAAACTTTCCCACCAGTTTCAGTCGATCTGCGACGATGGATCGCGACGGAAAACCAAAGTTCGGCTGCTATGGCGTCGCAGAATTTCCGACTTGGATCGTTGAGGCTCCGGCGAACGAACAAGATATTCGGTGACGTTCGAGTCCATTACATTCCGCTCCTGTATAAAAAAAAAGCAGAATAATACGGGTAGATGGCATTTCCGGATTGTAATCGAATTTGAAGGATAGAATATGACCGCGAGGAATGGCATCCAGCCGAATCACGTGTTTCGCTGCCACGCCTATAAATGAAGACTATTTTGAAGAGACTTCGTGATGAACTCGAAAGAGGAATCATAACCAGGAGGAAGAGACATTTCTCATTATTCATGATTGCATTCCAATCCATCCGTCTTTTCCTCGGCAAAATCTGGCTCCTAGAAACCTTTCCTTTTCCCCGTCATAATTTTTTTTTTCCATGGTGAATCTATTGTCCCCCTGCCTTCCACCCTATTTTTTTTAAAATGGCTGTTGCGTAGTCAGGAACTGATTACTGATTCGCTTTCCAGGAAGAGAAAACAGGGGTCGGCCAAAGGTCTCTGCGAAGTGAAAGTCAAGTCGGAAATCGCCCAGAAGAAAAGTCACCAAACGCCTCAAGCCGGTGTCGCTGCGTCTTGCGGTGGTCATCGATGGGACCATGAATAAAAATCGTCCGGCTTGCGGAGTTAATTAACTATTAAAAATGAGTGAGAAGGGGATGCAACAAAAAAAAAGGGTTCACGACCGCACGCATTCAATTGGATAGCCATCGATGCGAACTGCAATGCAATCACGATTCCCATGCGATAAATATCACTGAGGCACCCCGGGGACTTTTGGCTCGCCGTGACCGATGCGACCTTTGAAGAAATCTCGCGCTCGCTGGCTTCCTTTGCGTCGTTCGTGAGCGCTTTCAAAGGACTGAAGGTGATGTAAGCAGGGAGGAAAGAGCACGTCATTCTGCAATTTTGAAAATCTGCAATTTGAGAGATGGACTTCATGAGGAAACCGTGGTGATGTACTTCTTTGCGGTGTCTGTGTTAATGCAAGTGGCGACGAACTGACGAATCGCCCGTATTTCATCGTGAACGGTTAAAATCCCTGGATTCCCGGTAGGAGGCGCTGCTGTGACGTCATGCCACGGTTGCCTTGCGAGTGCGAGGGCAACTCAAGTCTCCTCGTTCATCCGAGAGATGGCGGGGCGAGAGCAAATCTCACACTTTCCCTTGAAAGTGGCCTCCTCTCCCTTTCGTGTGGCAGATTTCACATTTTCATCTTGAAAAGGCATATTCTAGGATGATGAGGAAGAGTTCTATCGCAATTGTCGTTGTCAGGTTTAAAAAATTGAGAGATTAACTGGAAAATGATGCTCGGTAGGAAAGTGGCACTTTCATAGACTTAGCATTTTCTGGGGGAAGGGAGTTAAATAGAATGCCTCACTTTGTCCCTGATTGTTAGCTGCTGCTCTTGCCATTACCCCAAACTTCACTCACCCATTCACATGTATTTATTGGAACCCCTGAGAAAATATATCTGGTAAAAGGGGTGGTTTTCGCGCATCATCCTTATCTTTTGAACTTTCGCACCCAGTGACCATTTTATGCTCGGTCGGAGACTAGAGCAAAATACCTCATTTTGCAGGGAGTCGAGTTGGCTATCGATCCGCAGAAAATTTGGTACAGTAACATTCAGACAAGGATACAAGCGAGATTTAGGATAGGCAGCGAAAGGTCGATTTCGTGGCTGCCTCGGTGGCAATCGCGCGTGACAAAATGCTCTTTTCGTGCATTATGCTTTGAAATGACCTGGCTTGCTCATTACATCCATGAATTCCTCCTGGAAATATGGTAGAATACCAGATTTCATTCATATTGAGATTGTATCCCTCCACCATCACAATGAAATACTTACGCTTGAAAGTGAGTCCGAAGTTGGCAATGGTGAATATTAATATCAATAAAACCATCTGGAGTGCGGAAACCCGGATTTTGGAACAAGTTTCACGCTTTTTGTGATATACTAGTTGAATTCGGGCTATTTAATAAGGTTAAATCACAAAGGAGAGTGATATAAGGAAAAAAGGTAAATTCGCAAAATGAAAACCGAAAGATCACATTTCCTTTTAAAACTCAGACCACAACTTTCTGAAAATGGTTCCTATCATGAAAATGTGCATGCAAAGCATAACTAAAGAAATGTATATTTTTCTGCCCCTGCGGAAGAAAGAAAGCCATAGATTAAAAAACACACAACTTGCTTCTCCGTAAAGAAAAAAAAAGAAAAAGAAAGCGCTCGCTTCCCAGGTGAAAATAACCACTAATTTTCAGGAAGAAATATGTTTTCGAAGCCGAATAAGCGTTTAGCCGCCATTGGTCCTCACAATTGGCGCATACCTAATAATAAACGTGGATCTAATCTTCAGCGAGTTAAGACTTTCTGAAGCCTAAAGTTGCCAGCTGACCTCGTTCCCTGACTTCCTTCCAAAAACCCGAAGAAAACCTGCAAAAAGATTGTATTGGTGAAGTCCACCTTATGGTGCTTTCCATGCCAGTCAGGAAGAGCTTCATCATTAAAGGCACTCTACAGGTTCTCTCAGGTTCTCAACCTGGGAGGTGTCACCCCCCGAATGCATGAAGGTTCAATGGGAGTAAAAGCGAGGTTGAGAACCACTGCTACAGGGGACTCATAGCCGCCAAAATCGAGAGGCTGCAGGATGTGGCTTCCAAGAGCAAAGCGTTCCACTTAATGACTTCATTTTTCCAGAGTTCCCGCAACTCAGTGGTAGTGTGGGTCCAGTGTCTATCCAGATGTACAA